TCTCCTCCTCCTGCTGCGGCGCCTTCTCCTCCTCCTCCTCCTTTCCCGCCCCCCTCCCGTCATCCCCGCCACTCGGCGCGAGCGCGGCGGCCGGCGGGGAGGCCTCCTCGGCGCCTGCCGGGCGTTGGACGTGGACGTGGGCGCCGTGGTCGGCTCCCGCGTGTCGCACACTTTGCCGCGGCCATGCCGCATGTGCTGCACACTTTGCCGCGGCCATGCCGCATGTGCTGCACACTTTGCCGCGGCCATGCCGCATGCGCCGCGCTCGTGTCAGCGGGGGGGTGGGGGTGGTGAAGTGGACGCGGCAGGGAGAGGAGAAAGGGGAGAGGGCAGAAGGGAGAGGGAAGAATGGTGCGCACAGACATATGCGTGTGTGTAGAAGTGTGTGCATATGCGCACCCTCGCTCCCGCAGGGCTCCCGACCGCCGGCGGCATCCTCGTCGCTCGAGTCGTCGTCGCTGCTGCTCACCACGATGCGCCGCTGGGTTCGGCGCGCGCCCGACGACGGCGGCTGCAGCCCAGCGCCGCCGCCGCCGCTCCGCAGCATCGGCGAGCCCGGCCCGACTGGCAACTGCCCGCTCAGAATGCTGCTGGCTAATCCGGTCACCGGCCCGCCTGCAGCAGCGCTGCCGGCCGCGCCGCCGGCCGCGCCGCCGGCCGCGGCGTCCGCCGCCGCCCTCTCGCGCTCGAACCGCAGCTTGTCGTCCACCGCCGCCTGCGCGGGGGGTTCCGCCGAGGGCTGGGTGCGGCGCAGTGTGCTGGCATGGCCCGTGCGCCAGCCGGGCTGGAGACCCACCTTTTCCCAGTCGGCCCGCGCGCTCAGGCCCAGCGCCTTCCACTCGGCGGACGCGAGGCGAGTCACTTCGGCGTACTTGGCATGCGGGTTGGCCGCCCGCAGCCGCTCCCGCGAGGCCTCGGTGTAGAGGACCAGCGCCGAGCGCGCCCGCCGGACGTCCTTACCGCCTCGGCGTGGCGGACAACGCGCATTCTCGGCGCCTGGTAGGATGTCGTTGCAGGGCATTCTCGTGGGCGAACCGCGCGATCGCGAGTCGCGGCCGGCTCGGACTGAGAGACTGACAGAGCGTCGTCTCAAATGCCTAAAAATAAGAATTTTAGACCTAACTCCCTCATACAACAAAAAATAAGAATTGGTGATAAACTGCGGAGAGAGATAGGAAGTGGTAGACGCCCGAGGGTGGGCGACGGCTAACACCACACTTCTCCCCTAAAATCCCTGTGTGGTGGCGGCGTACCGTCCTCCCATCCCTCCCTTGGGAGAGAGAGAGAGAATTCTTGATACGAAACCACGACGACACACACCAGTCGACTCGCATCGGTTGCCTCCATGAACGGCGGAGCTATTCTCGCGTCCACACCACACCTGGCTCCAACGTGGACACGCCCATAGCTGGGGACACTACTAGGTCACGCATGGCATCATCGTGCGGCTTGCCGTTTGGCGCCTTCTTGCCCGCCTCCACCGCCTGGCAGGCAACATCGAGCGGGAGGCCGAGGCGGCGCTGAACTGTAATGCGCATCGCCCACGTCTCCATCTTCATATCATCCCGCATGGGGATCGCATTCAGGAAGGCGCCAGCCCCCTCCTGGCTGACTGCGACGAACCGAATCGCCTCGCGCCAGCACTTGTGGTTCTTGCACCTGCCAGTCTTGTAGCGGCCGCCCCGCCGGGATGC